ATACTAATTGTGAATTGTAGCCAGCATTGTTAAAAAGGGCTCAATACACATTTGTGTAGAGTGGTATATAACATTAAGTGACTAGAAGGATACACACATGATTTGCTGCAACTCTGAGTTTCAAGTGTTAAGCACTCATCAGGCAGATTTAAATCTGCCTGATGAGTGCTTAACGCAGGAAACTCAGAGTTACAGCGAATCATGTGTTTCCTTCTAGTCTATAATATACAGCCATATACATTTGTATATAGTTGTAGAGTATTGCACTAAAAAAGCAATGTGGTGCAAATGTAGAGGGTTAACAATCAGCTCTTGACGACACTTAAATTTGGGACAACAGGACAAAAGGATAGACATACACAGTCCAGTACATTCCAATGTGCCTCCAATCCTCTCTTGAGTCATGACCTGTTTAGATACGTACGGGTGATTCAAATATTCACAACTGTTCTTAATTGTTTTTCTCATTACCATCAAGTGTGTGCCCAAAACAGATCACCACTCACTAGAACATTAGAGGCACGTTGGAATGTACTGGACTGTTCAAAACTATTTGCAATAGTCCACAAATATTTTAAAAGATCGAGAAAACCTTTTCCACATTTGAACAATATTTCTACAATAATTTTTTTGTTCAGTCAATAGCTTTGTAGAAAAAAGCCTTAAAACTAATGATTATAATAATCATAATAATAATCATCAAAATTACCATGAAATGACATGTTCCTTAACCTTAGCTCTGTTGAATGACAGAGAAAAGAACAAAAGTTGAGCTAGATAAACTCGGACTGCCAGTCCATACTGGTTTGATTTGAATTAAGTCTTGCTGGCTTGAAACATGACAAAAAACTAAAACTAGAGGAAACTGCAGCTTCTTTCCATTTGAGGTAATTCAAGTTAATCCAACCTGGACCGGCAATCTGAGTTGATTCAGTCCAACTTTTATACCTGCCTGATCATCAAGTGATGATCTGTACCCTCGCAGTGTCTCTCTCCATCTAGGAGTGTAAATGGGTACCAGTGAACTGTCATTGAGACCCCATTAAAATTTATTGTAGGGTGGGTAGTTGCCTGTAATGGACATATACCCTCACAACAGGTAGACACCTCTAGCTGCTAAGTGGAAACCGGGATAAACCTGTTACAGTATTGGCCCTTACTGTGCCATCCCTTGATATGCTTAAAAATGTTTTTCTCCTGTATTTACCATTAAAATAGAATACATTGTTAATTTAGTTTGGATTCATATTTTCTGTGATAGTGAAAAAAGGCAATCCAGAAAAGGATGAATTAGAAAAACTGGCCGATGACATTGATCCTAGAGTTTGGAAGAAAGTTGCAAGAAAGTTAAAGATCGATGATCCAAAGATCACAGCAATAGATAAGGAAAATGAAGAATTTTCTGAAAAGAAATATAAAATGCTGCAAGAATGGAAGCAGAAAAATGGAAGAGCTGCCTCATGGGAGAAGCTGTATCAGGCATTAGTAGATGCTCATCTGAGGGAGTTAGCAGAAAAACACTGCTGCGAAGAAATGAATTAAACCAAATACTGTGTATAAGATATTTCCTAGTTAGCTTAAAATTGTCATACTTATAAGTAAACATTTTGCTCCTGCATGTAAAAAATATTTGTTAGTTAGCCAGGTGATGGCTTACAGGATTGGTTCCTCTCTTAAGCTGCACTACTATTTTGAAACAGATGTTCTTGAGATTTATGGAAATGCTCAGTTCAGTATTCGGAAGAGATGGAACTTGAAGCTACCCGAGTGTGTAGCTTTCCTTTTCAATATGTATCATACTATTTTATAAATATTACCAGCAGTAGGTGTTTTTGTTATTGGTAAATTCTACATTTAACCATCTTCGTATGCTTTTTAGACTTCATTTTAGTCTTTATTTTCCGAAAAAAAAATTGTCCGTATTTTTACTCGGTCTGATTCACATATCTATTTAGTTATTCTTTTGCACGGTATATGTACTTTCTAGCACTCAGGTTTGACTCTGTTTGTTTAATTTGCTTCTGTCGTGCACCTTTCACAATCTCGTACGACAACAGTCTTAAATTAACTAAGAGAAAAGTTTTCAAAGAGCTCATGGTAAAGATGGATACTTGGTTTATAGTTTTTAAACGAAGATCCGAATAAGAAAAACTTAAGTAAACTAATTTAAATAACTTTCACGCGCAAAGTATCCGATGAACGTTAACATCGCACGCGATACTTACGAGGACCTTTAGCTCGAGAGCGAACTGGAACATCTCTCTGATAGTTAGATACTGTCAGCTATGTCAGATATACTTGAATTTTTTACCCCAAAACTTCCGTAAAAGAGAAGAGATGATAACATGGCTGTCAGCTACATTCGAATTCCTCGAGATATTAAGTGTATAAACAGGTTAAAAACAATGGAGTGTGTTTTTATAGAGGCTAACAAGTGCTTGTCACAATTTTGTAGCAGTTCTGGTCATTTTAAACACCTAACCTATAAGCCTTTAGAGGTCAGCGTTTGATTGCGAGGTCCTCAATTTGACATTTGGTACCTTACCTTTCAGAAAAATCTGACATGAAGCCGATACACCAAATTTGATCTCTCTCTTTTTAAACTAAGACTTAGAGAAAGAAATACTATTAAACTCAATTATCTCACATTCCGTGGCTTGCAATGATGCTGTTCAACATAAGCTTTTCCTCCTCATAACCTGTCGTAATAAAACTGAACACCAGTGACAGTTACAGTCGAACCTCCACCAGCGGCCACCTCCACAACGCCGGCTTTTTTTCAGTACATAAGGTGGCCGTTCTGTACAGGTTAAACTGTATGAAAATAGAGACGGGCAATTGTCTGGAAATCTGGAATACCCACCACAACAGACTCGTTACAACTCCTCGATGAGTTCTTCCAAATTAACGGCATTTTGGATGGGCATCGTACATGCATAAGGCCCTGTTGTTTAACCAGTTCTTTGTAACTCACTGGGCATGGCGAGGATTTTTCAAAGTGCCGGGCGGGGGGGGGTGGGGGTCCATATTATGTCATAGGGTATCTACGAGAATCCCATGTCGACTTCCCTGCGATGTTTTTGGAAAAGTGAGGTTTTCTAAGATAAGGAGTATGTGTGTCTGTGTTTAAAGGCTGATAGTTTCGAAAGAAGCTGTTTGGGGTTGCGTCGGTGGGGGTAACGAAATAATTTGGATATATGAAAAGGTAAATTGGCCACCGTAACGATTACAAAAGCTGACGTTTCGAGCGTTAGCCCTTCGTCGGAGCGAATAGAGGAGTTGTGTGTGTGTTTGTTTTCGAGGGGATGTGGGAGGGGGAGGGGAAGAGACCGGCTTACAAATTAGCTGCATCAGATAAATATTCTGTTATGTATGATCTTCGGATGCACACGTTTCCACCACCTGAATTAGAAGGCTTTGTTGATGATTGCCTGAAAAAATATCTATTTCGTGTAACCTTAAGGAGGCTCGAAAGGGTTTTTTTGACCGCGGGGAGAATGGATTCCAAGATACACGCAAGCTTAGTACTCGCGAGAGAAATAAGCGATGGCGCGCGCGATCAGATCCGCGGCCGAGTTGTAAACAAACATGGCCGCCATGAGCGTTTCAAAATTGCCGGGTACCTCTAGCTCTATTGTTTCCAGCGGAAGTGGTTATTTGAGAAACAAAAATGGAAAGTTTACTTCTTGAAAGCAGGTAGGAAAATGTTCGGATGGCAGGGTTCTTGCCGAAAGTGGTCAAAAAATTTTCATTTAACAAGCTAAAGGAGGATGGTGAAGTCGACACCCCATCAATAAAGTCGTGTCGAGTGCATTCGGTAGGTCTTACTTTGTTCCGCGAGAAATTTAAGTGGATACCTCTGAGTGCTACGATTTGTTTCGCATTGTATTTGACTCCTAATAAAATGAAATGACCGAGAACTTTCCTAAACAACTCACTGGAAGATGAAAAGGAAAATGAAATCATTGTTGGATCCAGGATTGTAAACATTG